GTCGTGGCCACAGGGATCATGAAGTGGTTGAGTTCAACATTTTTAGTGTAAGGAGGAAAAAAAAAGGCAGAATTGTCACCATGAACTTCTGAAGAGGGCAAACTTTAAGCTTCTCAGGGAGCAAATTAGCAGTGTCCCCTACAATTCTGCTCTCCAGTATCCAGGGGCCCAGGAGAGCTAGTCACTTCTCAAGAAACACCTTTCAAAAGCCTGGGAGCAGGCAATCTCACTGTGCCATGTGCCAAGCAAGTGGGGCAGCTGGCCTGGCTGAAGAGGGAACACCTGGAACTGGGGCAAAACAAGAAAGCACACAGCATCTGGAAGCAAGGTCTGGTTTCAGAGGGAGAGTACAGAGCTGCAGTTCGGATCTGCAGGGAGAAAACAAGAAAAGCCAAAGCTGTACTTGAGTTGATGCTGAGCAGTGTGGTGTGAGACAACAAAAAGGCTTTTGCAGGTTTGTCAGCAGCAAGAGGAGGTCAGAGGAAAACAGGGGACTGATACTTGGGGTGAAAGGTCACCTCACAGGTGGAGATGTCTAACGCCTTTTCTGCCTCAGCATTTAACAACAGCAACAGATCTTGGTTTGCCTGGACCTCTGAGTTGGAGGACATCACAGGGGAAGCAGTAACTTTCAATTAGCAGACATTACAATTGTAGGGATGCAGCTGTACCAGCTGAACGGCCATGGTCCATGGAGTTTGGCAGGACTTGCTTCTGAGGGAATTAGCAGATGTTACAGCTAAGTGGCTGGAGCAGCTCAGTGGGAAGGGACCGAGGGCACTGGTGGCAGCAGGCTCAGCAAGAGCCAGCAGTGTGCCCTGGCAGCTGAGAGGCAAACGTTTTGGGGTGTATTACACAAAGCACAACCAACAGGTCAAAAGAGGTGATTCTTCCACAATATTTAGCACTGGTGTGGCCTCAGCTTGAACACTGTGTACAGCCCTGGGCTCCACAACATAGCAGGGTTATTGAGGTTCTTGGAAGCATCCTGAGGAGGACACAGAGCAGCAGGGAGACGAGTGCTGTGAGGAGAGCCTGAGGGCACTGGGGTTGCCTGGTCTGAAGAACAGGAGGCTGAGAGGCGGCCTCACCGTGCCCTGCAGCCCCTGAGGAGGGGGAGCAGAGGGAGCAGCTGGGATCTGCTGCTGGGAACCAAGGACAGGACGTGCAGTGATGGTCCAACCTTGTGCCAGTTTCCAATTGAACTATCCCATGTCAATGCATGACACTGGTTTGTAAGTTCAGCACTCAGCTAGGTGAAACTGGTCTCAAAACATTTCCTTCCGACTTTCTGGATTCCATATTGAAAAACACAAAGCATGAGAGGCTGCAACACGCTGTCAAATGCTAATTAACCATTTCTACTCCGAGAAAATTAAACGAGGAAAGTGATTTCGCACACTGCAGCATGAAAAAGCAAGCTAAGGTCAGTGACAAAATTTCCTACTGAAGAAAGCAATGAAGGGCAAAGCCTTTGGAAAAGAACAGAGTAGGTAACATGAATAAAAGCAGCACGCAGAACTCATTTCTCAGGCTCACAGCATCTCTACCGCAGAGAAGCCAACAGGTGACTCTGGCAGACCTCACGAGAGAAGGATCTGCTGGGTGCTTTCAGCCTGCTTCCTCTTACCTGGAGCAACCATGATTTCATTTTTCTTGGTGCGGATCCGCAGGAAGGTGAGGTCATTTTGGGGATCGATGTCTCGCACGATGCTCCTTGCCCTCATGACGAAGCTCTGCAGTAGGCCAACATAATGAATGGTTGTGGTTTTGTCCATAGAGCTTCTGATAGGAATACCTGCAAGAAGCCACCACGGGGACAGCAAGGGTCAGTAACACAGCTTTTGAACCAACTCCCTCCAGGTATCACCGTATCCAACTGCAGTGGCCAGTGAACCTGAGTATGGGTTAGAGAGCTAAAACAGGGGGGTGGGAGCAGGAGTGCTCTTTTGAAAGCTTAAAAGAAGAGCATGAACAGAAATAAGACAGAGAGGTTAAGTTCTGCAACCACAGATGAAGGTGAGAATAACCGCTTCCCTCTACTAGCATCAGTGGTTTCCTTTTGCTTTGCCAGTTATTCATCTGAGATGTATAAACAGGTAAATAAAAACAAAAATAAGTGTTTTAGGGGGAGAGTGGAAACATCTGCCATGTTTTCTAAGGATTATTTCTAGAAAACATTTGGCTTAAACTGACACACAATTTTAACAGCTGAGCTTAAGTACAGGAAAATCTCTGCTGAGAGAGACATCAACTGCAACTCCTTAAAAAGCACGAGCGGTGTAAGTTATGATCTGAGAAAACAGACGGACAGTACCTCCAGGATTAACAACAATGAGTCCTTGCACTCCTTTCTGGCTCTGAATTCGCTTCAGCGTTTCTTCTACCTCAGCCTGCAAAAAACAGAAAGCGCAAATCAAAAGATCACAGGTGCTGGTTGCCTTCAACTAAAGCCTCACAACAATGCCTGACAGTAAAGATGCACAAAGATGACACACAGACACGGCCTGTACCTTTCCAGAAAGCACTGCGTGCTTCAGTACTATTTTCTCTGCCTGGTCTTTTTAGTTGGTTTCCACTCATTTTGGATATCAGGGGGAAGTTCTTTCCAGAGAGAGTGGTGAGGTGCTGGAGCAGCTGCCCAGAGAGGCTGCGGATGCCCCATCTCTGCAGGTGTTCAAAACCACATTGGATGGAGCCCTGGGCAGCCTGGTCTGGTGCCAGATCTGGAGGTTGGTGGTGCTGCCTGTGGCAGGGGTTGGAACTTGATGATCCTTAGGCTTTTTTCCAACCCAAGCCCTCCTATGATCTGTCTGAGTAATCTTCAGTCGTTTGTGATTACAAGCTTGTGCAAACTTGGAACTCTCTTTTAATTTTACCCTCTCCTCCTCCCAACCCTCCTGCAGCCCCATGAATGAGCTCCTTACTGCTGGCTCACAGAGGGAAGACTTCTTAGACTGCTACAGTATAGGCACAGAGCAAAATTTGTGTACCTACAAATGGAATTCATGAACAAAACAGAATAATGCACGCTCTACATGCAAAACTACCCTCCCTT